TTTCCTTCTACCGCAGTGCTGTTGTTCTGCGTAGTTTTCTCCCTTAGTTGGCTCTTACGATACCCACGGGATGAATAGGGGTGGTGACACTCTGTATTCTTAATCCGTCACCACACGGATATATCACATGGCCCGGATTCTCCTTAGAGCAGGGCGCCTAAGGCTGGGTTGGCCGTTGGGGTGGTGTTTAATGTAAACACTACATACTCCTGGCTCCTATTTCCAAAAGGATCCGAAGACCCGAAGGGACTTTCCACCTTCACCCCGTCAACAAAAAAAAGGTATGTCTCATCTGGAAAACCGTTTCTATTCCCGAAAGATAACTTAACTTTTTACAAGGTTTTTGTTATCGTTAACAAAGCGAATAAGAGGACAACCAATCTAACCTCTAAAAATTAGCCGAAGTAATAATAATAAGTCCAAAAAAGCCAATAGTAGATTCATTGATTTTCAAGTTTGGAGAAATTACAGAAAGTGAAATACCGTACTAATAATATAAAGCTGAAGAGTTTGTTTGTTTGTTTGCTTGCTTGGTTGAACGAGCTAATCTCTGGAACTACTGTATCAAATTGAAAAATTCTTCTATAAAGCCCATTTATCAAAGAAGGCTATCGAATATCACGCTATGTCCGACAGTAGCCGTGCATAAATGAAGAATGTTGCAATAACGGGGAAAATTTTCTTTTCAGAGTCGCAGATAAAGTCAACTAGTATAGAATAAAACTACGAAGCAGCTTGGAATTCATAACACTTCTTACTTATCAATTATTTAGAACGTTAATCTTGTTGTTATGTATGTAGTAAAAGATAGGTACGAAGGCCTGATACTTCTCAGGAATTATTTCTGTGTAACATTGAGTGCGCGTTGCAATTCTATCGATAATCGACGGTAATTGCTCTCGAGTTTTTATCAATTCTTGCTAACGATGTGGTAAGACAATGGAATGATATATTAACTATTACATGAAGAGAATTGCAGATATAGTTATATTTGTGACGAAAGCATAGCATCTTGTTTGTTAGCAACATGACGTTGATTCTTATTATTATTAACTAAATATTATTACTAAATATTATATGATAATTAACTAAATATTATTAGTATTATTTTTATTACGTTTATTGTTTAAGTAACTATTGGGCTTCGTATTGTCCTAACCTGTAGTGCCCTGATTGTTTTAAAAATAAAATATAACTTTTTTTTAAGACAACTCCCACACTAGGAACTTTACAAAAAAGAACACCCAGGCTCAAAAAAACAATTATGGATCGCACAAAGTATTGTACCATGTAGGAATCGAACCCACAACACAGCGCAGTAGGTTGGGTCACCGCTTAAACCACTACGCCATCCGTGCAGTCATTATCTTGGAATCTTTTAGAGCTTTACTAAACTACTTAATGAACATGGATGTAAGGAGACGATGAATGAATGAATGAATACCTCAGGCATCTTCTCTAAGAGGTATTTCTCTGAAAGAGTTATTCTTTGAAACGGTGATCAGAACATTTAAGACCCTGCCTTCTTAATTACTATCCTATATTTATGTGTTTTACATCTTCATGCACTTATGTACATTGGCGGACTTAATGCCCTGGGCATTCTCTACCACCCAACCTTTAGGTAGTGTAGAATGTACATCTTGTAGGGTAGGTGCACCGAGGTTACAATTGTCATCACTAATTATATTTTTTTTATCAATAAGCATATAAAACTAAACTAAATTTACATATCTTATACAAATACACATATTATTATATATGTATTATAAAATTATAATAAAGTATATATGTATATATAAATAAATATACATATAAATACATATTCTATTCTAAGTACCTACACTTAACTGTGAATTTACCATTTCTGCTTTCAAGTCGCTTGTCATTTTTTTGTTTAATCAAATTTGTGTTATAAAAAGTGACCTGTTGTTTTGGTGATTTCGCGAATGTTCATGTTTAATTATAATTATATTAAGAAAGAAAAGGACAATAGATATCAAATAATTGGTAATTAATATTCTGAAGTAAAGTAATTGAATTTGATATAGAATTTGTCTTCGACTTTTATTAATTTAATTAATCTGTTTATAGCTAAAAACTTTGAGCAGATCACCATTTACTTAATTATAATATAAAAATGAGTTCTATTAAATATAAAACTGGAAAAAAAAACAAAAGTATTAGTAAAGGATTTTCCAATTACATTAGCAGCCTTTAATAGTCCACTGCTGGACATAGGCCTCTCCTTAGAAAGGAGGTTTTGGCCTACTTTACCACGCTGGCCAGACGGGTTGGTATAGGGTTTGTTTCAAGTTTTCCTTCTCTCTGCAGTGCTGTTGTTCTGCATAGTTTGCTTCCTTAGTCGGCTCATACGACACCCACGGGAGGAATAGGGGTGGTGACACTGTATTCTTAATCCGTCACCACACGGACGGACGGATTTTCCAATTACAAATAAGTATTCTTTATCTATAAGTATACTATGTCCGTGTGGTGGCGGATTAAGAATATGGGCACAACCGCACCGCAAAGAGAAGGAAAACTTAAAACTAACCTAATACGTACCCGTTTGGCCACCGTGGTATGGTAGGCCAAAACCTCCTTTCTAAGGAGACGCATATGTTCAGGTGTGGACTATTAGAAGCTGTTGATCATGATGAACTTAAATGAATGGAAAGTACCATTCATTTAAGTTTATCTTAGTCACTCAAGTTCAGCAAGGTTAGATTTTTTTAAATGTAAACTTAATCATTAACGGGACTTAACGTTGTACTATAAAGCTGCTTAAGAGGGGAAGTACCTACCCTCGCGTACAAACAACAGTCAAATAATTATTCAAACGGTAAAATCTGTGAAATTGAAATTAAATATACCTACACTTTCATACTCAATTTCATCCTTAAAGATACTATGATTGAGTAATATTACATTCAATAATGAACATAAGACAGAAATTTGTCACGTTGTAACAGTTTTACCTGTTGATGTTTACAGTTTAGAAATAAATTAAAACATGAAGTATTAGTAGTCAATGTCTATTCTAATGGTTAAATTATAGGGCTTTGTCTTAGAACTAATACGTTTCTATCATTACTAATACCGATAAACATCAACACGGATACGCAAACTCATGCGCCTGCTGTTCGATGCGAGCTACGTAGGCAGAAGGTATTAAACCTAAAAATTTTTTTTTTTTAACTATTCTAGTCCAAATTTTGAGAGCTGAGGAACTGGTAACGAACACGGTGCCTATGACTTTGCTCGTACTTAAGTATAAGATAAGAGTCTGATGTTGGACCTGAATCTTGCTCCAAACAATATCTATGGGTATGAGCAGACGTTAACCTTTCAACTGTCGTTAGGTAATTTTATCAGAGGTTTGTCTCTTGATATCTCAGGTCTCTCTGTTAGTAGACTATTAAATACCGGCCGTAATAATCTATGTCCAGCCATGTTAAGTGTTCTAAAATAATCTAGAAATGACTAACCCGCATTTCCTCTCATCTCTCCCGACTCCCGAAAAGTAAAAATGTTACTGTTGAAAAAGAATTTTGCCACCAAGTAATTTTATCTACACCTATTTTTTATGAAGATTGAGATGAAAATTAAATCCCTTCTAAATACTTTCAAATAGGTTCAAATAACTTTTGAATAATTTCATTTCTAGCTGTTTTTAACAGATGCTACTGGCTGCTTAGAAATTTTCAAACTGTTGATCGAGGGACTAGATAATCCAAAACTCACTAACACAAATTGTGATATGTACGTTATCTCCTAGAAACAGCCAAAGCGTTTTGAGAATGTATGAACCTTTCGACCTCTTTGATCACGATCATGAAGAAAGTAACTTTGAAATCTAGGGCATTAACAGAATTTCGTTATTTTTAGGAATAGCGGACTCGAGTTGTTTTTTTTTGTAGTAGTTTACGGAAAGTAGGCGTGATAGCATTACAAACTGGTTCAACGAGTAGATCATTAAATGTGAGAATAACAAGTTTAAGAGGATATTAAGGATTGTTTAATTATTTTTTATATTTTCTAACCGATCTTAAATAAATAATCAAATTAATTTTCTCGTGAGGATAAAGAATCCCTTGTATCTATTTAGGTAGTTTCAGTACATCTTACGTGACTAATAATTCAAAGATTGCTTTGTTTTTGAGAAATTAATTTTATTAAATCAATTGAAAAATTAAAAAAAAAAACAAAAGAAATTCATATACCATTTTAATGTTAAAATGATAAAATACTAGTTTTACTTTATTTACTTTTATTTTGATGCTTGTTTGATAGAATGTGGTCACGCCTTAAAATTCATCCAAGATCCGGTCACTTAAATCTACTTTAAATTATCACTTAACCCGTCTAAGATTTTGATCAAAATTTTAGTAGGTGTTGATGTAATAATAATTATATTTACATTTTTTTTATAAATCGCTTAATTTAATTTCTCGCTCGCTATATCACTATAGCTTAAACTTTTTGAGTTTATATATCTGCGTTCGTTTGGGAGGTTCAATTATTTGTTAAGGGCAGTAGGTAAATAAGGTTTCTCTCATACAATGTTTACTATTGTTTTTTAAATAAAATGCAATGCAAATATGTATGTAATTTTTGTATTATTTAGTGTCAAGATATTTTTAATGTCTACATGAAGTGGATCGCAAATATTTATGAAGTGAACTACAGTCAATAGTGATTTCATTCAGTTATCTGATTAGCTAATGGTTACCTTTACAAGCTATTTTTTTAAACTACGTCAACAGTTTATGTTACAGCTAAACTGTTTACTCAATACTAATTATGTTATAGTTAGTTTAGTCGGCTTCGTACAAATCTAAGAAAACTACAGATAGCCGCAATCAGAGAGAAAATTAAATTATATTGTGTCAATTGACGAATTGCAGCAATAAAAAAAATAACAAAGTTTCCATCGAATTTAGACACAACTGTAACGAAGTATTTATAAAAATGCCTTGCTCTTTCCAACAACTTACTTTGAATTTCCAACCTCTCTAATTTATCTTCAGCCCGCGCTGCAACTTCCAACGGACTCTCTATGTGATAAAATATACTGGCACCAACCAGCAAGTACATTATGTGTAGTGCAAGCATGCACGCCAACTGCTTTTTGGACATCATCTTGACTAGCTTGTACAATAATTTCTTCAAACAACAAAATGTTTTTCACTATTAACACTTCTTATATCACAGTAGTCTTCAGGTCAAATTAAGAAACCAATGACACATCTAATCATAAACTTTTAATAATCCATTTTGTCCAATTACGCGGGAATACAAACGCGAGCTTTACAGATTTCAGTAGAATAAACTTTTGCGTCAAGTAGTTCATATGGTAACTGGCAACTAGATTGCTCGAAATTTTCTTTAAGTACCACATTATAGTAAGATCCTCATTGAAGATTGCTCACTAACATTTAATTTAGTTAAAGGAACATTTTTAACGTTCATCGTACGAAACAATAATTGTTCAGCGAACTTCAGATGACACTTCCCGATTGAGCGACGTTCGGCTCGAGCGCTCGATGCGATAGAATGATTTTCCCGGCGCGCGCGCCTACGAATCGTGCGCCGACAGCTCTTACGTCCTTTTTTTATACGGCAAGCTCTAAATATTAGAGTGACAACGACACGAATTAACTCGTCGTAAAGGATAATATGTAAGGTTATTACCGACATAGTTATAGAGCAAGTGCTGACGCAGTGATAATACTAAGACGCCGAGGCGAAAGACTTCGTTTATAGCCGGGGGATTAACGAGGATTCTGCGTTTGATAATGTGAGAGCGTTACATCATTGTCTGATAGCAAACTCTTGCTCTACAACCTTACTGTACGCGTTTAGGAAACGATTAATTGGGATTGCTCTTGTTGACGATACTTAGCAACTTCAATGATAAATTGAAAACTGTAAATAGAAAATAAATGATAACTTGATAAAATGTTGTTCTCAATCTGCTAATTAGTTAAAACTAATGTATCAAATTAGTCATAACATTCGTGTACATTTTCGTGTATTGACTCAAAGATAACGAGCGTTCCGTACATAAATGGTAAACGATGTGACAAAGGGTTGGGTGACGTACTGTGTAAAACCATACGATTGTTGCGAAGGTAGGTACTTACCTGTTGATCTGTATATGATATATATTGCTTAATGTTCACAAATGCAGTGTTATACTTTTTATGAATGACTAGCGATCGTGGGTGCAATGTAGATACTTCTAAAACTACTAATGTGGTGTCAGTGTGGAGTTATTAATTATACTATTATTATAACAGGACGTCTTTTACAATATGAATATTTATGGGCCCGGTCCTATCCTGCCGGCCGCTGCTACCCGCGACGGACGTCTGTCCCGAAGCGGCTACGGTCGCTTTACCCCCTCATTTTAATTCTCTTATACCTTCTAAAATATTCATTTTAATAATATGCTGTAAAAAACATTTTAATCTACATTAAATGCACAACATAAACAGGCATTTATTTATTTAATTTATTTTTATAGAATTCTTTCTTAAAACCATCCTTTTACCTGTTATTGATAGCGTACATTCATATTATTTATCCTTTCGGGTGGATGTCATCATGGGCTACAGTTAAGTTCATTATGTAGTGTTCTGCATGTTATTCAACACGTATACTCGTACATACGCAAAATCCCAATAAAATATCTAATACAGTATACACCGGATTACTTATAGGTACATACCTACGAGTAATATGTGTTTGGTATTTAGATTTTAACTAACGATGACTTATTCAAATGCTAGGAAATTTCGTTACATTTTGTAGAGCTTCAGTCATGGGTGGAGGATTATGTCTTGTAAGGGCAACGAGTATCAATACAATAGGTCTTGCAACTGAAAACTATTTCTACCAATGTTCGAAAATTTACCATCGAATAGCTGATTAGGCAAGAATTGTTAAGTGTTTGCCAGGAGATGAAGAATATTCTTCACTTTTATTTTATTTCAAACGGTTTTACCGAAGTGAGAAGCAAAAAATTACAAATCTCGACAGGACACATACTTTTAAATTTCCAAAAGGTTTTTCAATTATTGTTTACCTAATGTGCAATTACCTACCTATATTAGGAATAATGCCGTTGACTACTATTTCACTCTGTAAAATCTTATTTGTTTTCAAAAGGACCGGTTTCCTTGGTCAGTCCTATTAGTCCTTAAAACACACTGCTTTGTGCTGAAGTTGGAGTGAAGGTTTGCCTTTAGCGAAGTTTTTAATATGCTTTTGTAACTTTATTTAATACATCTTACTTTTTATTACATATTGATGCATAGCAGACATATCTGTTAGTCGTCATCATCACTTCTTCAAAAGCCTTTAATAGTCCACTGCTGGACATAAGCCTCTCATTAGAAAGGAGGCTTTAGCCTACTATATACTGTAACAGACGGGGTGATATACCTATACCAACCCGTCTGTTTATTTGTTTTCCTTCTCTTTGTAGTGCTATTGTTCTGCGTAGTGTACTCCCTTAGAGTCGAGTCTCTTACGACACCTACGGGATGAACAGGGGTGGTGTCCCTCAGTATTCTTAATTCATCAACACACGAACTATCTGTTAGTTGGAGATTCTAAATGAACAACAAATTCATTGAATAACGAAAGGTAATTATATAACAAAATATGTGCAAGGCTTGAACCAGAATCACATATTTCTAGACAGACTTATGGAGAGATAGCTTGTCTAGGTAGCTTAATAAGTCGAGAAAGTTATCTACTGTTTAGGCATAACCTGGATGCAATGATCTTTATTCAATTGACATACAGTATATTATGCTACTGGTAGAATTCGTGAAGAATGGTGACGCTTAAATATACTGGCATATTGTCCTTGTCTTAATAAATAGTGATATATATAAAACGACTATTGCTGTTGTATTGTGCACTTAAACATAAGTGCACTTAAACTGATTTTTACAGTACTAGACATACTCTTGTGTTCTGCAACGCCAATCCTTAAGTCAATTCTCAGTTATGGTTATTTTCAGGACATTAGGCAGGTTCTTTTGCAGGATGTTAAGGTTGAAGAGCACGTTCTCGGATTTCGAAAAAAGCTAAAAACCTAAAAAGCTGCTTTGTTAGCCGAACTAAAAAGTAAAAAAAAATTTTCTATAAGATTAAATAAGAAAGATAAAAAAGAAAGAGAGTGATTAAGAAAGACATCATTTTATCGTAAAAAAAGCGTGGAGTACTTTTATAGTATTATAAGTTAACTATTGCCAATCAATAAGATATTTACAACAATTGACATCCAACACCTCATGCTTTTTTCCGATAGTTGTTTTTATTCTTAATTAATTTATATTTTTCTTTTAAAATTTATAGAGAATTATTTTCTACTAGTTAGTTCGGCTAGTTACAAAAGCGTCACTTTTTTATTTTTTAAAAACAATTATTTATTTTTCAAAATTTATGCTCTCCTTAAAGATCTATCTTTGCTCATACTTCACTATCACTTGAAGCTGTTATCGTTATTTCAGAAAGTTGAATAAAGTGAAATAGGTTTGCCAGTTATATTTTAATTGACCCTTAGCTTCTCTCTAAGTACATTGGTCATCACGTATGTATGGTTGTAACACGAGAAAGGTGAAAGATATGTAATTTAGAAAGCTTTATGATAAATCTACGCGTTAACACACTAAACAAACTCTTTAATAATGTTATAAGACTAAAACAATACTAAGCAAGACTGGGAAAAAGTGGAAAATAATTGAATACCAACTTAATTGATAGGACTAAAACACATGTCATTATTCTAATAGAAAACATTTTGACCGCTCCAAGTGCCTTTAGTCTGTTTGATATACATAAATGAATTTAACCTATCCATACAAAAAAAAACGGCATCAGGGGTCTATGGACCTCCGGTCGGAACGAAGTTTTTTGGTAGACGTTTGTTACATTATGAAATATATTAAAAGATGTGAGAGTTGATGCGCCAACTAAAGTGTCGGAAAAAAAGTCGTCACAATATTTTATGTTATTTCACAGTAGACACGTATGCATTGTTAGCGTATACATAGTGTCGAAGCAGGTGGCGACGAGGCAGAGCCTTATCGTCGCATTTAGCTCTTAAATGGACTAGAAAAATTTTCACTGACAGTAATTGGGAATCGGTTATTGTTATCGAAGAGAATGTTGCAGTACAATATCTTTCCCATGCCTTTCCTGCAATTTGTGGGAGTAATTTAATAAAAAGGAAACCTAACAGGCGGTCTATTTGATTTGACCAATGACCAGATGATAAATGAGATGTTAGATGCGAATACTGTAAAGCTCGCACGTTTTTTCTATATTCTAACGGTATTTACCTTCATAACATAACGTACAAAGATTGAAGTAACTCAGAATAGAAAAAAAATAACATAATAAAACTATGATAGAACTATTACAACAGAAAGGAAATGGGTGATTACAAATTACACGTTTACTAGGAAATATTGACATACAAATGTCAAAATTATTAATTATGCAAAAGGTACAAGATTTCGCTTAACATGCTCTGCCACTTTTTTAATGAATTACAAGTATTTTTTTATTATTTTTACATTTATAAACGTCATAATGTGTGTTATTAATAAAAACTCCTTTCTAAGGAGAGGCCTATGTCCAACAGTGGACTATTTAAGGCTGTTGATGATGAATTAAACGTGACATTAGACATGTCAAAACGTAAAGTCATTGAAATCTTCCTATCGGGTTATTCCTAAACTTTTGGGTTTTGAACGAAAGGAAAAATACCTGCGTCATAACGTAGGTACTGTTATAGCTAGGTTGATAACTGAGATCCTTTAAGAGGAAGTCCACAATATTTTTTACAGACAATTACGATAGTACATAATTAAGTAAAGTTCTCTTCGTGTGCTTGTGAGCAGAGCTACATGGGGTTAATAGTATGCAACGCTTACAGCACCATTTCAAAATCTAGTAATGAAGTGTCCCTATAGTTACAAGCACTGTTTTGTTGTATATTTTTTTCTAAAGTTGTCAGTCAATGTAAAAACACTAAAAGCTCACTAACATCCTGTGTAATGTTAAAGCATTAATAATGTAGGATACGTTTCCTACGTGCGATGGGCTGCTGCTAAGCTCGA